GCCCCATCCTCCTCGAGCACCAGCCTGCTCTCCGCCTGCTGCAGCCTCCCTCTCCCTTGCTTGCCTCCTCTCAATTTCGCACAGTACGATGTAGGGGGCTTGTCGTTATTTTTTTTTAATTTATTTCTCACCGAAGATGGTTTAATTTTTTTTTTTTGTATTTCTATTATTTATTAATCGTTCCCAACTGTAAACCTGCCTAGCCTTCTGCCAGCTGGGCCAGAGCGTAAAGCCTGGGACTGCACCTGGGGCGATGAGCCCTGCGCTGAAGAAGCCTCCTAGAGGGATGTGCCGGGGCCGCGCAACAGACTAGATCCGAGCCCCGAAGCTTACACCACCAGTTACCCCCTCTCCCTCGTCCCCTTCGCCCGCCTTTTCTGCGCCCCGTCCCCTTGAAACCTCGGATCAGTGCCTGCGCTGCGCTCCGGAGATCTTTGCCGGGGTGAAAATCCCGGAGCCCAAGGAGAGACGGGGCGGCCGTGCTAGATGCATGGGGGAGGGCTGCGGTTAATGCAAGTTCTGGGCTCCTGCAGGGACCCCGACAACTGTCAGCAGCAGCAGCAGCAACTCGGGGCCTCCTCCTCCGCCTCCTCAGCGATGCTTTTCCACAGTCTGTCCGGCTCGGAGATGCACGGGGTCATCGACGAGATGGATCGGAGAACCAAAAGCGAAGCACCGGCCATCAGCTCGGCTATAGACAGGGGAGAGACCGAAACGGTAGGAGGCGAAGGAATGGGGGAGTCATTCAGCCCCTAAACATAATAAACCCCTCAAAGATGCAGCTTTTCCCTTAAAATAACCGATCGGGGGGAAACGTAGGCGAAATGCTAAATCAGAAGAAAATTAAGCATAAAGGCACCCTAAAAGATTAAATAAAACCGTGGGGAAAGGCATGAAACTGTTAATTATTAATAATATGCATAGTAATAGTAACGCTTGGGTGAAATGAACGGTACTGCTCTTGCGAGAAAACAGAAAGATAGACCAGCCTTTTGGTAGCGTCCAAGAACTCCTTCCCTTCCCCCAGCCTGTCCGGCCTCCCAAAGTTTTTAGAAAGAAGCAAAGTATGCTTTTATACAGATAACATTTTGGCACAGCAAATTTTTTGTCTGCAGAATGGAAATGCAAAGAGCAAAGAATCCAATTCTGTGGTATTTTTCAGGTAGGATGTCTACACTGAGGTAGGCATTATAGCATTTATAAACAAAAAACCCAAACTCGAGTGCCTTTAAATTATGATTTTTTTTTTTTTAAATAATTGCAATCTATATGAACACTGGGTTTGTGAACGTGGCAAGCAGAACTAGAAGATGTGTTTCAGGGAGACGGATGGATGCAAATTTTTATAACTTTACCACTTTTTATCTTGTGTCTGCTGATGCCTAGTACTTGTATATTAATACATTTAGATAATAAAAAGATGCATCCTTTAAACCAGAGTTAAGCTAGCAAAGTGGAAGAGATTTCTGAAGTGTGTTAACTGATTCAACACTCCATGTATACTACTTTCTGTTAAGAAATTATAATTCTGAAGTGAAATGATCCCGTACTTCGGTTAAACACTGTCTTGTAAGCTGATAGGGGCATATGCAAGAAAGATATCTGTTCTCCGTTTTTAAAACTTCATCAGTATGTGTTATTTCTCTTAATGTTATGTAGAAATTTACTTAAAGCTGACAGTGAGAGTATTTAATCCTGAAACACTGGTTGAAAACCAGCCTTTATACTATAAGGGTGGAATGGGATTTCTAATTTAAACGGTTTTGGTTTTCTTTGGAAAAGTTAATATTTCTCCGTACAATTAAACAATATCAAATGATCTTTCCTGGAATAAATATTGTGGCATGCTACCTTTATATACCTATATATAATGTATATGCGTACACAAGTGTATATAATAAATAGTGGGATAGCATACTGGATCCTTACATACCATTTCTGGATCTCAGAATATTTTTGTTACCAGAAAAGCAAAGCAGAAAAATCTTATTTCACTCAAAGTGGATTTATAAGAAACTACTTTGGTTACAAAACGGTCCCTAATCAGAGTTCAGTTAATGCCTTAAAGAAATAAGCCACCAGTGGGCTGGTGTGGCTCACATACCAATGTAGTGCCATAATTTTATTTGTCTGTAGTCCTGATAGTGGGGATGGTGCGGTGCAAACAGTAGTGCTCATAGCGACGGGATCTTGTGATCTCTGCGAGTACAGGACGAAAGTAATCAGGCCAGCATATGCTGAAAAAATAGCTTCGTTTTCTTTCGATTCTCCCCTATTAGCTGCCTTTTCTTTTTGCTTTGCGCGAGGACTTAAGGCTCTAGAGGAGGTAAAAGTAAACAAACAACTTCTTCCCCTCCTCCCCCCCAATCAAAACAAACCGCGTGTTTGCCACATCTGTAAAAAAATGGTTCGGGTTCTCTTGCACAAGAACAAATCTGCGGCGTGCTTTTGTGCAAAGGGGGGGATACCAGTCCGGGAGGCGGTGGACAGCAGCGGTTGCGAGGTCTGCCACGACCACTGCTCCGCTCCGCGCCCCTCTCTCGATCGCTGCTTTAAGGTGCCGGCTAAAATAAATCAGCCTGCTTAAACGGTTTCCGATATTTTCCTCTCTTTCTTTTTCGGTAGAAGTTGACAGAACATGTATGTATTTGTTTTTTGCAGGGTTTCGATTGGATTGCGATTTGACACTAAACTATTAAATTATATAGGGGTTACATTTAGTTTTATTGCTTCCAAGTTTATCCCAGCATAATCTAAAGTGCTCTGTTGGTTTTTCCCCACTTTCTTTCCCACACGTTTCCCACTATTTCGTTTTCCTGATAAAACATTCTGCACCTCGGTTTTGGTACCGCTCCTCTCCTCCGCAGTTTTTATTTACCGATCCCTTTAGTGCTCGGTCACAGCAGATTTGGATGCGTGTTGTTTGGAACCGGCTTGCAGAGAGGGCTGTGTCTGCAGCACGGTGACTGCTGGGGGGGTTGATCGTAATTCACTCGGAATTTTATAGCTAGGAAAATACACACAGAGACACGCACTCACAGAGCGTTAACTCTGCAGACACTCTCAGTATATCCATAATAATAAATTTTGAAAAATAACTATCTGCGATTTGCCCTACTCTGTGATTATTGCGCCTGTTTATTGAACAGCATCTTTTCTTGTTCTGGGACTGGAAAATCCACAAAAAAAAAAAAAAAAAAAAAAAAGAAAAAGAAAGAAACCCTGGGTCTCGTCCGGACGCCTTCCCTGAAGCCCGGACCCGGCCGCGCTCAAAGAGTTTCTCCCTCTCGCTAACGGTCCGTAATTGTCTTCCCCCAGCAGACCATGCCTTCCATCAGCAGTGACCGGGCTGCCCTGTGCGCCGGCTGCGGGGGGAAAATCTCCGACCGTTATTACCTCCTGGCTGTGGATAAGCAGTGGCACATGCGCTGCCTGAAGTGCTGTGAATGTAAACTCAACCTGGAGTCCGAGCTCACCTGCTTCAGCAAGGACGGCAGCATTTACTGCAAGGAGGACTACTACAGGTACAGCCTGCCACCGGCCTGCGAGGGGGGACCCGCCCGCGGCCCCCCACGCGGAGCAAACCCCGGCCTGGCGCGCCAGCGGAGGGGGTCTGTGGGCTCACAGTCCCCCTGGGGCCGGCTGAGGGCTCCCAAAACCTCCCACCGGAGAGGGAGGCTCACGGCGGGGATGGGCCC